GACCCAGGGGATGGCAATTGCATTGACCTAAGGGTCCGAACTACTCGGTTTCACTAGGCAAACTTGGCGTCGCCAACGGGATGCGTGTAGCGCCCAAGGCAGTTAAAAAGGGTCCAAATAGCTACCAGTAATAATGTGTCAAAAAAACTCTCCCAAACCTTAACTCACGTAACTACTATCCTAAGCCCACTACCTGATTATTGGGTCCTTTGGACCCCTTAGCGTTGCTGCAGTTGCAACGATTGCGGAGTCCAACTGATTCTTCCTGTGCGGGAAGCAGCCCGCCCAGATCCCCATACGCTATCTTGAACCGCTTAGGGTTTACCAGGACCCTATTTAAAAACCCTACCTTGTTAGGGTTCCTTATTATGATTTCTTCATATAGGTCCTTAAAAGGGTAGGTTATTTGGGGTTAAGGTAGGGTTTAATTAGGGTTTAGCCAGCATCGAAAAGAGCCAGAAGGCTAGACTTCTGCACTTCGCTGTATGGCAGCAAAGTAGGCCAACAAAGAGTTTTCCCTGCCCACAATTTGTCCTCCCCACGCTGTTGGCCATTACAAATCACTACAGTACGTGTTCAGCTCGAAGACCTAAAAGCCCTATAAATCCTTTAGTTAGGGATTTGTGTAGCAGGTCGGCTTTCTAAGTCGTACCACCTAGTCACTGTTGATGTGATTTATGAGGATTCCTGGGATGTTATGATGCTGTCATGCGGTCTCATTGGGTTTTACGGAGTTTCATGGGATTTAGAAGGCGTTCTTTATGGTTGGGTGATAACAACTGGGGCTTCGTGACAACAGCAAGCTGTTGTGGGGTGTCAGGATCCAACTATTTCAGGCTCATGCGCCGTTGTAGCAAGAGATGAATAAAAGCTTCAAGGCTTAGCGCCTATGCTTGCAAGACGGACGTTTCGCAATAGAGGTCTGGCTCTTCATTAACATTATCTCCCTTACAGTGCCCATGGACCTACACTCTGCATTAAGCCCATATGCTCCAAAACCGTACTTTAATGAACTATTCAAACCTTGCAAAACCCAAAGAGTTTAGGGTTTTGGGTGTCGCCTGCGGCCCGGAGCATCCTCGGGCCCAGACGCGGTCAGGTCATGATACTCTTTCTTCTTCAACAACCAGGCCCAAAAAGTTCAACCGTTTTTTGGATGGACCTAATACATAAGGCCCAAAAGTCTAAAGTTCTCCCATTGGCAATCGAAAGCCCAAGTATTCCCAGTGGAGCGTTCTGGAAACACAGGACCTGAAAATCAGAAGTCCCCAGTTGCTACGAGCTCCACAATTAAGATCATGTGTTACAGAGTTCCTGTGGTTCAGATTGCCCGAAGGAGTCATTGTCCCAGAGGTATATACCAGGCCCTCAACGTACTCGCTCAATAGGGTACTGTAGCGCCAAAATGTGTACTACATGCATGCATGGACCCTTAGGGCCATTGGTATTGGAATAAAGATGAAGCATGAGTCGTACGGACCCCGTATGTTGAAACAGTCGAACTGCCGGGGATCCGAGCGAACGAACCGGACGAATTGCATGATGTTGCCCGACATCACGGCGCCTTCTGTGGAGCCTTGGGATATCGCAACCCCTGGCAATGACAGGATTTCGGATTTAAGGGGTCTAAGACTCCAGCATGCAATACTGTTGATGGTAAAAATCCTGCATTACCTTAAGGACCCTAAACTAAGGGAACTATGGTATATTACTTATTATCAACCGTAGCACCCTGTTCTAATTCCAGGTGCTGAAGCATTTTTTGCCTTCGAGGTTTCGGGTTAGAGTTGCCGACCTATAAAACCGACCTCGTCAGGGATACTTATGTTGCTTTCCTTACATACTTGCAAGCATAAGTCCTGAGAAAGGAGGTGGGCTTAACTTGAGGTAAAGCCTCCCTAACCCCCCAAACTAAGCGAGGGGCCGGAACGACAGGCCCCGAGCGCTCTGGCCGAAGGCCTAACAGCCCGAGCGCCCCTGCGAAAAGAGCGGGACGCGGAGAGGGGAGG